CCCTTTCGGCCGGATTGGCTCCAGCCACCGCAACCCTGTACGTAGGATAAGCGTTTGACGATGGATGGAATTAGGTTTTGTTTGGTGTTTGTTTTCATATAACAAGTTTCAGTAAGCAGTACTTACTCTAACATTAATCAAATTGTTTATATTGATGGTTACTTTAAACTCGAGCCTAATTACAATCCCCAACCGTAATAATAATTATAGACAACTAAAAAACAGTAATCCAAAGCCACGTTGAGCTCTAACCTAAATATGCTCTAACTCCAGAGGGTTTTCCTGATCATCAATGCGAGGGCATTTCATCCTGACAAACAAGGCAAACGCATAAAAGACACACGCACCCTCCTCCAGATTAGTCAGCAGCTGATAAATATTTTAATGCATCTCTCTGGCTCGGCATTCCATTAAATATAAAATATTAATGGTGCAGTAGAAGTTTGGCAGTTCATGAGATGAGGTTGGACAGCATGTTTTTAACTGAACCGCAGTTTGGTTCAGATGATCAGGCTGTTATAACTGAAGCCTCCCCTCCTCATAATATATTAGAAGTGGCCAAACCAGCAACAGAATAGTTGATTTGTCATGCAGCAAATATACGTGTTTGATATACTGCAGACGGTAACCCACAGTGCAAACACTGACTGAGATGAGATGAGAGCTCTTATCCAGGATTCATTAAAACAATACTAATATTAGGAGATTTCCATCTCCACGTTGGCAACATAGGTGACTGAAAATGGATTATATAAATCCTTTGTGCTCCAGTGGGTTTATACAACATGTCAAAGGAGCCACGCTGTTGACTGCTGATTATTTGTAAGATTTTTCTCACTTCATTGTTTAATTATTTGGGTTATAAAATGTCAGAAAATGTCCATCCAGTGCCTTGTTTTGTCCAACCAATAGTCCAAAGCACAAAGGCATTCAGTTTACTATTAAAAAGGGTAAAATTCATTGATTTTTAAAAAAATTTTAAACTTTCTTTTTTTTTTCTTCATTGCTTAATCAAGTAATTATTACAGCACGCCAAAAACAAGATGCATTGATAGCCCATGGCTTCGTGTTAAAAAAAGTAAGTGGTATTGATACTGTTACGAATCAATATGCAGAAAACATTGGATATAGTAGCTCAAAGTAGTGACTAGGTTTTAAACTGGTGACAATGGCCATGTTTCCATCTAATTGTCATGCGTATTTTAAGCGGACTTCTGAAATGGCGCAAAAAATAAAAATAAACTGCAAAATATGTGCGTTTCCATCAGCTGGTTTGGAGCGAATAAACCAGGCTACGGCGAGCGTAGTTACATCAGTAGTTGACGTTACACATGGCTGTAATAAACAAGACGTATTGGTTCCAAACCAGAAACAAAACCAGTCACATGAACCTGATGGCCAATGATGGCCAATGATCTTAGACAATGGAGAGAGGTCCTCAGAAATGTGTTTCAAGCAGGCAAACTGCTACCAGCCATGTCTCCGCACGTTATGGGAATATCCGGTGTTATGCTGAGTTTTGCATGCCTGCTGAGAAATGATGCATTAAAACGCTATAATATCCTTTGTGGGTTTCGTCATGGTAAAAAAATTATTCGAAGTGTATATATTATGAACGTTTAGAGTCGTTAATATTTTATTACACTCAGTAGAAGTAGCATTCACTGAGATTCAGCAAAAATATGCGGTGATAACCCCATTTGATCAGTGTGCAGAGCAAAGTATCTGAAAAGGACCTTTAAGAGGTGAATGCATAATTCGGCAGAACAGATGATGAAGGCTACCTGCCCAGATTCGCATCCACCTCTTTCCTCAGCACAAATGAGCGTTACCAGCCACGAGGTGCATGAAATTCTCTGCAGGCACGCAGAACTCTGCACAACAAAGACGCCGACAGCAGAAACAGCTGATCAGACTTATTCGGTTAAAAGTGTTTCTGTCTTCCATTTACTCTTTTTCGACAAAGGCAAAAACCACCTCAAGCGAGCCTGAAAACGTTTTGCGAAATTAACGATTTTTTTTCCCGAATTTTGCCGTTCACTCAACATAGTCTAATGCGATGCTTTAAAATGCGCATTAAAAACGTTGATGGAAACACGGCTATCGATGCAGTCTTAACTATAGAAGGGTTTTAGAGGACCTCCATGTTTTCAGCTGTAGCTATGCTCCTGAAAAAAGTTACTGTAGACCAACCACTTGTTTAACACTGTCACGTTTCAGAGGAACCTTGCAGGTGTGAATCCAAAATGCAGGAAACAAAGGCCTGCTGGTTAGCTAGGCTGAAGACAGTAGACACTCTGGCAGGGAACAAGTGAAAGAGGGCTAATACGTAGTAAGTTCTGACACCAAAACTACTTGGTTAGGTTTAGGAAATGATCATGGTTTGGGTTGAAATAATAATAATTAGTCATTTAGCTGCCGCCTTTATCCATGTCATAATGTCACATATGTAACGTTGTGTAACTTTTGCTTGTGTATGCTACGTCACCTGACACGGATGGGTGACATTGGAGTTACTTTAGAGCCCAGGGAGTCTCATACGGATGCTGAAGTGTACCATGTGGGATGAGAGCGGGCTGGGCATGAGGGCAGCTAGCAGAGCAATAACATAGCAACCTGTTCACATAGTGCCTCTAGCACCTGGGCTGGGGTCGCCCTCCTCCTGTGTCCCTCAACCCCAGCTGACTTCAAAGCTGACATGAAAGAGTTTTTGAGTTATTTGCACCATTGGAGCTTGCACAAAGCAAAACCAGGTTTAGAAGATGCCACTTTACTGTAACGTCTGCCTCATCTGGGAGGATTACATTAGATCTATAAATAAAATCCAGGGTCTTCCACTGATCAACAGCGCTCACCAGAGCAAGCAAAGGAGGGGAGGGCGTTAGAGATGTTGAAATTAAAATTTAGAACACCTTAAATAATGAACAAAATGGCCAGTGAAAACAAGGCTTTCACTGCTCACTCAATCGAAAATAGTCCTTTTATGTATCCCATCTGACTGCCTCGGCATAGTGTAGATAGGTAGCTCAGATCATTAAACGTATCCTGTCCCTTCATCCCGCTGGTAATTAGGGAGTAATGGAGCCTTGGCACAGAGAAATATGAGACCACAGAGCAGTAGCCAGAGCGCTTACCATGCCAGCACCAATCTGAGTCAGGGGAAGCAGCCGTCCCAGTGATTTGACCTATCAGAGGCACCAAAGGGCTGTGGCAGGACACTCCCTTCAGCCTCCACTGTCTCCAGGGGATGTCTGATGCATTAGTTCTTTGCTGCTTAGCACTTTGATTGTTGTATTGATTTGATGTCCTCCATACATGATGTGAAGGATGAACTGACACTATCTGCCTATTTTCTTCTTCTTCTTTTCTTTTTAAAATTTTTAATTTTAAATACATTTTTTAAGGTTTCTCCTTTGAGAAATACAAAGTGAAAACAGGGTGTGGGGCCATCTGTGGTGGGTTGAAATTTGCACAGACACAATGAAAAGCTTTGTTGGCGGTAGATTTATTCTGCCATTCACAGTCCACAATTTTAAATACTTGCATGTGGTATGTTGAGACAGTTTCACAATAACATAGATGTACTGTAGAATCGGTCGTGGAACATTAGTCACATTAATTACCGGCGATCATGCCTTTGGTCGTGTGTATGTGTGTGTGTGTGTGTGTGTGTATCTATCTGCAGCTAGTCTTGCATATTACTGGACCATATCAGCCTAATATTTTCTCTGCACATTTGGACCCCTCGTGGTTGCGGTGATTCACACTTTTCGAAAAAACTTTTTTATTGAATGAGCTTATCGTAAAGCTTAGACTTTGCTCTTTTCAGGAATAGTCGCCATTTTACATTATGCGTTACGACGTAGCAATAGGCATTTCTGGCAGTAGGCTAGGCAAAAAACAAAGCTTGCCTAGTCTACTGCAGGGTGCATTTTGGTCTTTGGTGGTCACAAAAACTAAAAGCTCCATAGAAAAGTTTGGTCTCATCTTGAACCAGAATAATTCCATACCAGACATGTTATGATTGTCTAAAGTTAGGCCATAGTAGGTGAATAAATCCCTGTTGTTGTTGTTGTTGCTGTTGTCTTTGCCACCACCATGTTGACTGTGAGGGAGGGACAAGTGAGAGTTCAAATCTTCTTTGTTTGGGAGGAAAGAGGGAGGTAGGGAGAGCTTTTTATTTTGTGGGGTGTGTTACAACAACATATTCTTAATAAATAAGAATGTTCAAATTCAGGCGTTTTCTTGCTATTCATTGTTTTCTTAAGTTTAAACCGAAGAGTTGATGTTAACAAACTGGAGAAGTCATTTGAACCCAGGACGCTCGGTTACAATAGTGAGAAAAGCTGAGACTGTGCTGTACAAAAACACTTTACTTAAAACATTACGTACATCTAAATAAGAATATAAGAAAATTTCTTCCCTTCAATCTGTTACTTTCATGCATGCACACTGGACACACAGCCTGCCCTCACTCCCTGATCCCCACCCACATCATGTCCCCAGAGACACCTGGTGGAGACTCTTCTAGTTTGTTCCGTGTTCATCCTGGATTAGGATTTTACTTTCATTTAGCTTGAATCTGCTGCATGTGTGGCTGTTAACCTCTGACATCAGAGCCAAGCTGGGTTTTGGGCTAGCCACAAGAATGTCTGATTGCATTACCCACTGGGCTAATATAGTAGCACAATTCGTGTAATCATCAAGCTTCAAAATCAGAGCAATGGAAATGGAAATATGGGCATGGAAATATGCTCTTAATTAAAACACAGTGAGAATGATTCGTACTTAACTGAAATGTCTGAAATTCACAGCTATTGCTTGCTGATTGTGACAGAAGAGCCCGCATATGAAGATATCTCCATTTTATGCTTCCTCTGATGCACTTTTACTTTTTGCAATTCTTCTCTTTTACTGCTCTCACCTTGTTGACTCTTTCTCTCTTGCGATTTCAACTGTTTTCAAGTGAAAATGCCCCCTTTCTCTCCATCCTTCTTCAGCTGAAGGTGGAGGAGGAAGATGAGGAGGGCTCAGCGGAGGAACAAGAAGAAGAAGAGGAGGAGGAGGAGAACTGGGACAAAGTGCTGTCTGTGGAGCGCTTCGGAGACATCATCAGTGACTCTGCTTCCACCAGTGGAGACAGGATGGGCCGACACTACACTGAGAAAGACTTTGAATGTAAGCAAAGCTACTATGTACAGCTGACAAGTAAAAAGCACACATTATACCTTCAATCACACAAGAAGTTTCACTTCAAACTGTTCTGTAATCCAGTGCATTGATCCACATTTTTATCAGAAAGCTGTCTACTCAGAGTAAGAATGCATTCGTTGCCATTAGTTTATTCCATTTGACAGATTACTTTTTTCAGTGGTGTGGACTCGTGTCGCATGACTTGGACTCGAGTCAGACTCGAGTTACAAAAACGATGACGTTAGACTTGACAAAATCAAAGAAGACTTGCGACTCGACATTGACTTTAACGGCAGTGACTCGTGACTTCACTTGGACTTGAGCCTTTTGACTCGAGCTGATTTGACACCCTCCCTCCCCAAATATGAATTATGATAGGCTATAGAAAAAACTGCGCAGCGCATCAGCATAGCGCTGTGATAATTCAATTTTAATCTCAATTACGACGGCTTTTCGGGTTGATGCATATATAATAGTTTTTAAAAACGAGGTATTAAATTTCAATCAATGATGTTTCCTAAAGTCAATAATCCTGTTGAATAACTGTGATCTCAATATTGACCAAAATAATTGTGATGAAGATATTTGGGCATCATTACATGAAAATTTAATTTTAATTCATGAAATTATGAAACTGCACCTCTGCCTTTTTTCTGTGCAGGGTAACCCTTCATTCAGTACTGCTTTTTTCATTTTTAACTCTTGTTAAAAATATGACAGGGTTTTAAATTTGGTGAAGAGCGCATTAAGACTTGTTTAGGACTCAAAACTCAAATTTTAAGACTTGTCGGTCTTGACTTGTGACTTGACTGGGACTTGCTTGACTTGATCGATCTGGACTTGGGGCTCGACTTGGGACTTGAGTGCTAAGACTTGAGACTTGTGACATGTAAAACAAGAACTTGGTCCCACCTCTGCTTTTCTTTCAGTAATGAGTAGTGTAAGGGATGACAATTTGAAATACAGTGTTGACATTACACTAATTCCAGTAAAGCTCCGTTACTTTGACATTTGGGGGTCGGCTTGTTCGCTGTCTTACCGGCAGTTTGATGGAGGGTTGATATCAGTTCAGTGGAGCGACAGTGCCAAACATTTTAGCTTGGCACAGCGTTGGTCAACATAAAACGTTACTGATTAGCTTATGTTAGCATGCGTACACACCTAGCCGAGATGGTGAACATGGTAAACATCATTCCTGCGAAAGATCAGCATGCTAGCGTTGTATTTGTGACCATTTTAGCATGCTGACGTTAGTATAAAGTGCCTAAGTGCAGCCTCACTGAGCCTCACTAGCATGCCTGAAGTCTTGTTCCAATAACATCCATATTAATTATTTTTGTCATATCGTAATACAATTATATACATGTGTTCATGTGTGCATAAATACACGTCTGATCTTGATCTTGTACATCATAGTGTGACCTGTATTATGTAAAGAGATTTCGAGCAGGGCACCAGATTCCTTATATGTGAGTTTATCATGGGATTAGTATTAGAGAGATTAGCAGATAGATACCACATACTCTGGCAGGAGATAATAGTGGCTAAGATTAGCTAGAGCTGCTTTCTTTTGATGTTTATTAAACAGTGCATTTCTCCATTATTGCAGACTAATTAAAATCTAAAGCTTTTGTTTGCGTTGTGTCTTCGAAGTGTTTAAAAGGGATAGAGGGCATCTCTTCTGAGAATAGACCAATTTTTTTTCTTTGCATGTTTTATTAAATGAATTTAAAAGCCTGTGGCTTAAAAAACAGTACTTGTTCCTGAAAGGCAGTGTGTGTTGTAGACTAAGTATTTATATATGGTGCTGTAGCTATACAACTGATTTCAAGGTTATTGTTAGTCTTGGTTGGAATTATTCTGTGTTAAATCAATATGTAATAGGTCCAGGCGTATTCAGGACAGGCTGAAATGTGTTTCAGTATTACAACCTCCCATGATGAGGAGAGCTTGTGACTTACCATTTGCACTGTGAGCTTAGCTTCACATCAAATCCACATAAATATCAATTACACACTTGACTCGTACTTTGTGTTGCTAAACCTGAGAGACAGTTAATGGACAAATCATGACACACTGCATGATACGATCTACACAGTCAGTAGACATAATGTCAACATTTGACACAATGATGTACTATTGATTTTCTTCTTTTTTTGTTGGAACCGCAGATCACAGACACACATTTCACCATACACACCACCCCTTATCCACCCACCTGCCCGTGCCCCAGCGTTTACGCAAGAGGGTGCACAGCACGGACAGAAGGCGCAAAAAGAAACGGAAGAAAAAAAAGACGTCTCTGGCCCCCTCCAATGTTACACCGACCATCCACGAGGTAGACGAGGAAGAAGCGGAGTCTGAGACCGACGGACAGGGGGTGGCTGCCACACCCACAGAGCTACTTGATGTCCAGCCACAGGTAAAATAAGACGGAGAAGACATGGGACATCTACCGTGTAAAGGTGGCTAAATTCATACAGTTTATGCAGGCTGATCCTGAGACGGCCAAGTCGTGAACATGTGCAACTGAACTGGTGCAGGAGTGCTATTACCACAGAATAGCCAGGTATTAGCATATTCCTCTATTCTTACTGATTTTCCTCTTCCTCTCAGTTTAGTTTGGGGAGCCAAGAGGACTTGGAGGAACCCCTTCCACTTACTACCTTTCACATGGAAAACGAACAACATCAATTGTCAACGAAAGCCACATCCATTCTGACAAAGGGGGAGACTCGTAATGGGGAAATTGCTGTTTTGGGACAGAACGAGGATGGAGAGGAAGCCGCTTGCAGCAGGTCGGCTATTACAACATCTCAGCTTGTTCTGTTTGTACTGCAGACTTACACGGGTTTCTATACAAGTAGTAGTACATGTAGGTACTACTAGGACATTGATTCAGTTAAAAGGGAGGACTTGTATCGAATAAATTTTGTGTGTGAAAATGTTTGAATGTGATTCTGAATATCTGAAAATCCCAAAGTTTACAGGTACGGTACTATTCTACAGGTAGTGTTGTAGTCATGACCGCCCAAACCGAGACCAAGTCAAGACCAATTGGTTAACCAGTTATTGGTTGCATTTAAAGAAATATGTTTTACATCCAATCAAAGTTATGATGTTAACAAATAAATCAGACAATGCAAAAGCAATTTATTGATATTGGCTGGTCTTGAAATAAAATCCAGAGTCCTCAATGTCCGAAACGGAGTACCAATGTGGTCCAGTCCGAGACGAAAGCAAGACCTTCAAAACGTGGTCTTAAGACCAGTCACTATCTACAGGTACAAAACAAACCTACAGTTACAAGTAGTTTTGTCCCATCTCATTGTCAGATCTCATTTGATTATCCAATCAGGAATGTTCACCATCCAATCACAGATCCAGGGAGGTGGGCCTTCTTGCAGGGAGTTTTGGCTTCAAAATAACAGACAGTGAATGCATTTCCATAATCCATATATATATATCACAAACCAAAGCAGAGTGATAATTCTTTGCTTGCCTAATTTATGTTGATCCAAAACGAGTACTTGTGTTTACTTTTCTCCCTAGTTTTTTTGCTTTTACGTGACGACGTGGATTGAAATATATTTTTGTCTTAGCCTCAATGTTCTGTTCAACATGACTGTAGTCTAACTTTACAGCAATGTGACAGACTGCGAATCTGTGATTGGATGGTCAACTGATATTCCTGATTGGATGGTCAAATGTGGGATAAAAGTGCTTGTAACTGTAGGTTTGTTTTGTACCTGTAGAATCGACCCGTACCTGTAAACTTTGGCCTTTTCAGATATTCAGATACACATTCAAACTTTTCCACACAGCTACAATACATTTGGGACAGTATTTATTCCATAGACTTGGGGCACACTGCAATATTATATTATTAATGTTTTTTATCTAAACAAATCAAATAATATTTTGTGAAAGGCATCGCATGTAGTAGCAAACCTACAGAGAATTATCTCCTGGCTCTGCGGCTCCTCCCACTTCTACTGAGCCTTCCTCTACTAAGCATCTTTCAGCAAACTGCTTTGCTAAACTAAGAACGGGTGCAAATCACACAGCTAAAATGAGTGAACATTGGACTTCCACTCGTCAGGGCGACTTGAGAGAATGGTAATGTTGCTACGTGTCTTCTCTTCGCCGACGAGCTTTATAAGATGATAATTTGTCAGTGTTGTGTTTATAGCTTAGACTGCTGCCCCCTCGTGTGGCTAAAAACACGTTCATGTAATTAGTAACACCCGTGCCTTTGCTGCTATAGCAAGGTAAAATGTCTGCTGTATGAAAGGCCAATTTCTGTAGTCAACACAGGTTATATTGATTTATCCTCAACTACTTCATGTTCCAAAACACATCCATAGGAAATTAATGAGACTGTTGAATCATATAATTTTGGTCAGCTGAAAAGGCTGTAAACAAAACATTGATAAATTTAATAAATCATCTCTTAAAGTAGTTATAGCCTTTTTAATATTTTGGCAAGATGCGCAAAATTAGCATTCATTTGGTCTTGAGTTTTTGGCCACCTGATGAACGTCAGTCCAGTATTTACTCTCCTTTTAGCTCTGTGTTGGGGCTTTTTTGCGGTAAACAGCAGCCGGCTGTGGCTGGAAACAAGGATGATGAGAGCAGTGCTAATGAAACAAAGTTGAGGGCCATAAAACTAAAACAATCAGCTTGGAAATGCCGAGCTGAACTGCAGAGTTGGGTGAAAATGCGCTGTGGGTTCATCACTGTGAGCAACTCCTTTCACATTACACACTGTCTTTGATCCATTGTGATTGATTCCTATAATAGTAGATTGTGCAGCTTCAAAGGTCGTTTGTCCTTTTTATTATTATCCATTTAATAAGTCTGTTTCACCAGGGAGTGTTAATGTAGTGGATAATGTAGAATGAA